CTAGTATTATTATTCACACCAAGTTATGACTGAATACTTGATTTCGCAGGCTAATTTCTGTTTTTGTTCTCTATTTTGTCGGGGAATTAAGATTTCAGGGACATGCTCTTGCAAAAGAACTGGTTGCTAGGGGGTTGCAGACTACCGTCATAACAGATTCTGCTGTTTTTGCGATGATTTCTAGAGTGAATATGGTAATTGCACTTTCCTTTTAACCAGAAAGCAGGTTCTGTCATACCCTATCTTTCTGGAGTTTTGGCTGTAATCATACACTTATTCTTTAAAGGTTATAGTTGGAGCTCATGTGGTCATGGCCAATGGGGGGGTTATAGCGCCAGTAGGAATGAACATGGTGGCTTTAGCAGCCCAAAGGCATGCTGTTCCTTTTGTTGTACTTGCAGGCGTTCACAAGGTATTTTGCATATAAGGAGCTCTAGTCCTCTTAGGTTTTGTTTGGATTGAGGGTTTTGGGGGGCTCTCAAAGGGTAAGCTTTGGAGGGCTTAAATCATGGGTCATGACATGTAATTGAGATTGAGAAATTTCCCGAGATAGGAGTAAGGCAATGTGAAATTTCAAAATAGAAGTACTACGTGTTTTTGCTAAAGAGGAGCATTACTCCGATTTATGGCAAAACATATGAATTCACATTGTTTTTACTCATATTTAAGGCAATTTCTTAATTGAGATTTTATATAAAAATTGAGACATTAACTTTACAAGTACCTGTATAACATTTCTCTACCTTATTTATCTGTTTTCATTAACATTCTTTTGGCACAACTAATAGTTCAAGTGTTTTCTCATTTCAGCACCCAAAGCACTTTTCTGAAAAAAGCACCAATATGTTACTAGTATTTCTGAAAAATAACAACCATTTTTTCCATTTTCCTGAAAGTGCTAAAAAGTACTTTATTCCTAAGAACCCCATATTCTTTGAAAATAAGTCACCCCAAAGGCCTTCTAAGCTCTTACAAAGCATTCCCCTCCAAACCATCCATCCAAACACACCCTAAGATGAGCACCTGCACAATTCATAGCACACATAGTTTGTGAGCACAAATTGTCTAACTTTTTCTTGCCTGAATGGCAGTTGTGTCCTTTATATCCACACAACCCTGAAGTGCTGCTAAATGAGCTGAAGTCCCCATCTGAGCTGTTGGACTTCGGAGAATTCTCAGATTGTCTGAATTGTGATATTGGATCGGGATCCCCTCTTCTACAAGTTGTCAACCCTGCATTTGATTATGTGCCACCTAATCTTGTTAGTTTGTTCATAACAGACACGTAAGTTAGTTGCCGTTCTTTGACCACATGCACTAATTACATAATCACTTAGTATTTTACTTTTGATGAAAGCGTAACGTGTTACTGGTGGTTGATTACAGAGGTGGGCATAATCCTTCTTACATGTACCGTCTTATTGCTGACTATTACTCCGCTGATGACATGATCATGCGTTGAAGAAGATGAGCATCTTTCAATGGCACATACCCTCTCTGATTGAGCGACTGTTACATTTGACATGGCCGCATTTTGATTTCGATCTTCTCTGTTTAGACATTTTCATTGTGGTGGGTCAAAGATGAATATATGAAGAATTAAAGCATACGCAATACTAATAGAGTGCCCATATGATGATCTGTGAGAGGTAGACTTGTAGTTATTGAAATCTCACAATTATATTCACTGGGTGCCGATAAATACCTCTTGAATTTTCATGGCTTTCTAAGTACCGCACAATTTTCCTTGTATTAATTGGTCCGTCACTCCGTCCTATAAACAAATTCAGTGTGCGAGCTTGTGATGAGTTATCACCATATGTTTTTTTATTATTATTTACATACAATCAAATCACTCGAACAGAACTCATAATAATTTAAAATCTAGCAATTTGAATTCTACACAGTTCGAGGAAAAATAGAGTAATTTATATGGAATAGGGGTGGACCGGTTCCGGTTCGGGCCTGGTTCGGGCCTGGGCCCGGCCGGGCCTCGGTTCAGGAATGGGAGGCCCGGAACTGGCCCGGGTAATCCCGGGTCCGGGCCGGGCCGGGCCTCGGTTTTTTTTTTTTTTTTGACTTTGCCTAATTAACCCCCAACCCTCCCCCCTCACCCCAAACCACCTCAAATGGCCCAAAATACCCAGCCCAACCCAAAAACTTAAAAAAAATTCAAAAAAAAGGCCCGAACCGGGCTTGAACCGGCCGGGCCGGTTCACCAATCCTAGGGCCCAAGCCCAAACTGCATTCCTACTGGGCCGGGCCGGCCTGAACCGCCCCCCGGGTCGGTTCCCAGGCCGTGCCGGTTCAAAGAGTAACCGGGCCGGTTTTGGGCTGGGCCGCCCGGCCCGAGTCCATCCCTAATATGGAAGCACTCGGATAGTCGGATTTCATATACTCCGGTATTTGACTGCAGGTTCTATCTATCATTCTATCCTAAAAAATACTGTGGTTTTGAGTTGTGACAGTTGATTGGCCCCTCTTATTGGGTAATGGGTAAGTTGTATTTTTGCAAGGTTTTGAATGACATGATCTAAATAAATTATTTCCGGTACATTTTAATATATGGATAACATACTGAATTATTTCCCTCCAATGAAGTTGGCAGGCACTTCAAAACTCAAGAGTAGACCGGGAAGTATTAATTTTACTTGTATTCCGTCAAATTTATATGTGCATTCATAAAATTATCTTTGATCCATTACCTTTGCTCTTCTTCCTTTTCATTGACCACCTTGTACTTTTAAATTTAAAATTTCTTTATTAGTTGCACTACTCTTCTAAAGATGTAGGGGTGGATTCGGGCCGGGCCTAGGCCCGGGCGGGCCGCCGGTTCTGAATAGTTGGGTCCAGGACCGGCTCGGGTAGCTACCGGGTCCGGGCCGGGCCTCGGGTTTGGTTATTTTTTGTTTTTGTTTTCCTAAGTATCCCTGACCCCCCCCCCCCCTCACCCCCACCCCCAAACCCCTTCTAAACAATCAAACCCAACCCGGGTGGAACCCAAAAAAAATGAAAAAAAAAAATCAATTTGGCCCGAACCGGGCCCGGGACCGGCCGGGCCTCCTTTTCACTGACCCGAGCCCGCCCCGCTTTTGAAAGATAACCGGGCCTTGGGTCGATTTGGGGCCCGCAACACCGGGCCGACCCAGTCCCGCACAGTAGCAGGCCGGGCCAGTTCCCGGGCCGGGTAACCCGAACCGAGTCCAGGACTATAAAGATGTATTCCGTCATAGATTCGTATATTATATACTATCGTATCTTGTTCCATCTGCACTATTAATCATTTTTCTCTAACTTTTTACTAGTATTTAATAACTTTTCTCTTATTTGGGATCTTAGCTACCATGGAGTACTGAATAATGTTTTAAAAATGTAATTATCTTCAAATTTATGTCTCTTACGTAGTTGTTTATCACTTATTTGGGACCTTAGCTACCGTGGAGTACTGAATAATGTTTTAAAAATGTAATTGTCTTCAAATTTAAAATGTTATGTCTCTTACGTAGTTGTTTATCACTTATTTGGGATCTTAGCTACCGTGGAGTACTGAATATTGTTTTAAAAATGTAATTATCTTCAAATTTAAAATGTTTTGTCTCTTATGTAGTTGTTTCACATATTTGGAATTCATAGCTACCGTGGAGGACTGAATAATGTTTTTAAAATGTAATTATCTTCAAATTTAAAATGTTCTTGTGTAAGAGAACATCTGAGAATGAGAACAGAAAGATATACGGTTAAATAACTCTAAAAACGTCCTTTATCATTGAATTTTTTGTTAGCATTTCAAAATTTTTGAGTGTGACTCTCCAATCCAACATTGATATCAAGTGCTTTTCAAGAGGAAAAATAGGAGGAATTGGTTCCTGCCCAGACGGAAGGAGTAACTTGTTCTTTTGAATTTGATGCGATTGATGAGCGTGCAAAGATATACGTAATACGGAGTATAACTCACAAGAGTATATGACCTTCATCAGCGGGTGATAGAGGATTACGGTCATTGCCAAACACCTTGCAATCCTTGCATCATGTACAGCCAATACCATATAAACTTACACCATAGTCTTACATTATTTGTGAATTAAAATTCCTTTGAAAATAATAGCTAAACCTTTCTTTTGCAAAAAAAAAAAATTCTTTTGAATTTGGGAACTCACAACACGTGGAATTCTGCCTACTCGACATAAATTAAGTGACCAACAACATTACTATCACTATTCGTTACAAAAAAAACTACTGTCACTATGACTATTTTATATACTAAAGTGAAAGAAGTATAGCCAATTCATTGAGGTGCGGGGTTTTTAAAATTTTTAGGCACATTTGACACAATGTTTGATGGAGTGGACATATAATTGCTCTAGAATTTCATGACGATATAGGAAAATTTTATGCACTATTTAAGTACCCTCATTACAATCTCACATATAATATTTTTTTTTATTTGAAGGAAATCTCACAACCACTCAAACACGGATAATATATATAGTTATATACAAAAATATTCCCATAATATTGGGCATAAACTCTCACATCTTGGGTGACTAAATACTAGTTTCACAAATGAGTAAAGAGTCAGTTTTGTCCTCGAAGTTGCATAAAAGGGGTCAAATGAGTTCTTATATACTAGTAGAAGATTATGTCTGGACGTCCCATTTGAGGCGTTTACCGGTGAAATTTTTTGATAAATTTTTTTGAGCATCTTATTCATTAAGTCTAGTTCACTCATACCAAATTTCAGCTAAATATTCAATCGGGAAGGCATTCAAGTGAATTCTCGAAGATAACTGCGCTTTGAACTGCACACTTATCTTCAAGAATTCATTTGAATGTCTTCTCGATTAAATTTTTATCTGAAATTTGGTATGAGTGAACTAGACTTAATGAATAAGATGTTAAAAAAAATTCATATGAAAAATTTCACCCGTAACCACCTCAAATGGCGACAGCCGGGTAGAATCTCCTTAAGGACTTAAAGAGTTCAAAGCTTAGAAGAGATTGTTGGAATAGATGAGGAATCACCGGAATGAGTCGCAGAAATCAAAAGAGAAGTAAGTTTGTCACTCATGTTCTTATCAAAATCACTCTCTCGCTGTTTCTCCCAAAGCTCCCTAACCGATCAAATTCTGGCCGCAATCATTCAGAACCGGCCATTAGACACCACCCTCCTCCTCGCTTCACCTACTCGACCCATTTGGACTACAGAAACGGTCTCTGAGGTCCTGCGCTCCATACCCAGATTCCTCTTCCGGTCACCCAGATCCATCGGCCGCCAGAATGGCTTTCGGCATCGCTCCCCTTTGAGACAGAGAAGTCTCAGAGAAGAATCCGACCAGGCGCGCCATGGGAAGCTCATTCTTGGCCCTGCTGCTTATAGAGACCCTGAAAAAGTGCAGCTTGGTCTGGAAAAAGCACACGAATTTTTCGATTGGGTCGAAACCCATGCCGGATTCACCCACAACGAGCTTACTTGCAGAGAGATGGCTATCGTTCTTGCCAAGGGAAGCGGTGTCCTGAAACAGATTATCCAATTCCTGAAGAGAATGTCAAAGAGAGGGCTTGTCACCACACCCACCATAACCTGTTTGATAAAAGTCCTAGGAGAAGAAGGGTTGGTAAATGAAGCACTTTTCACCTTTTACCGTATGAAACAGTTCCACTGCAGACCAGATGTCCACGCGTACAACACTCTCATATATGCTCTCTGCAGAGTTGGTAACTTCAAGAAAGCCAAGATTTTACTTGACCAAATGGAGCTGCCAGGGTTTAACTGCCCGCCTGACAAATTCACATACACAGTCCTCATAAGCTCTTACTGCAGGCATGCAATGATAACTGGATGCATAAAAGCCATCCGGAAGAGAATGTGGGAAGCAAACCACTTTTTTCGTCTCATGCTGTTCAAGGGTTTCCTCCCAGATGTAGTGACGTACAACAGTTTGATCAACGGCTGCTGTAAAACATTCCGGATTGAAAGGGCTTTGGAGCTGTTTAATGACATGGAGAAGAGGGGTTGTAAACCGAACCGAGTCACCTATAATTCTTTCATTAGATATTACAGCGCTGTGAATGACATTGAAAAGGGTATCGAAATGATGAGAAGAATGGAGGCTGGAGGTAATGGTGTGTTGACCAATAGTTGTTACACGCCTTTAATCCATGCTCTGTGTGAAGGCGGAAGGGCGATGGAGGCGTGGGGATTGGTGGTTGAGTTGGTCGAAGGGGGGTCAATCCCAAGGGAGTATACTTATTGTCTGGTTCGCAAGGGATTAGAATCGGAAGGGAGAATAGATGTTTTGGATGGTGAAGTATGTACTAGGATTGAAGAAGGTATAAAGAGCAGAGTCTGTCAAGCAGAGAGACATAAGCCTCTGTTTAGCCGCAAACACGCAACACCATTGTAATATTTGTTCTATTTCTGAAACCTTCCGAAGTGCATAGTTTTGGGTATAATTTTTATCTATGATGAGAAGGAAAATGCAAACAAATGAAACAAACAGTTCTTTTTCTCTTCTTCTCCACTTCACCAGCTACCTCTACAAAGACTTGTAGCTCCATTGATAGCTGCCATGACTTTAATGCTTGTACAATGTAAATAGTGAGAATGTGAGATAATATAATATACCAGAGTTAACTTAAATTAATCCAAAAAGTCATTTAATTTTCACCCTTTCTGAGTTTTCACATATATATGGTTCTTATTATTGTTGTTTTCGAGGGTTACTTATGGATTTATACTCTAAATTGGGTTGAATTAACTTCGACCATAAAATTGAGACTTCTATTCTTCCGCTTAATTTAGATTCAATTTCCTATTGAATTTGATCTCAACTATAAAATCAGGTCATAATTTAGCTAAAAGTCTCACTTTAATTACAGCTACAACGCATGAGGATTAAGTTCTTTTGTTGTGGTTACTGTGGTATCCGTATATCATGATTCATGATAAAAACTAGGAAAAATTGATTGTAATAATCCCAACTATTGGCGGTCCGCTTATAATAATCCCAACTATCGATTATTTTAGAATAATCCCAACTTTAGGGTCCTTCCGCCAATAACAGTCCCTGTAAATAAATTAATGTACTTTCTGAAGTGGATGAGAAGAGATATAGCAAATAATCTCTATAAATAATCTCAACTTTTAATTTTTACGCTTAATTTCTATTTAAAATTCACTTTTATAGAAGGTAATATTTGGTCATGGACCATTATTGGCAGATGATCCATATAGTTGGGATTATACAAAAATAATCAATAGTTGGGATTATTATTAGCGGACCGGCAATAGTTGGGATTATTATTTTCAATTTTTCCTAAAACTAAAAGAAGTTTAAATCACTGTCAAAGAACAAATTTAATACACTCGGGATAATTTCTTTTAAATCACTGTCAAAGAACATTCAATCGGAACGAAAGGAAGATGCTGCAGCGACTTTGAGACATCTCAGAATTGCACAAAAGACCCAGAAACATGCAATAAATCACAAAAACTGCACAAAACGTGAAGGAATATCTTCACGTGAGTCGGTTATTCATTTTTTATTTGGACTGAAATTTTCAATGTATTTTATAACTATCGAAGTCTGATCTAGCCTGATCTAATCAATTAAAATCTGGTCTGTTTAAATATAAGGGCTTCATCACACTAAAGAATTGCTTACATTCTCACAATATACGTACACGTTCATCACTTCAGTTTGCAATTGCATTAAATTATTTTCTACTCACTAATACAACGATTTCTATCTTACAAGTTACAACCATCTTAACAACATGAAAAGAAGAGAGAAGAATAAGATTATTTTTAAGATCAAACCTAACCGACTAGTACTTCACCAGAGGAAGCTTGAGCAGTAGTATCAGCATTCTGCCTCACATTAAACCAGAAGAAAAGGGAGGTTCTACTACACATGACCCGAACCTGCTGCAATGTAAGTGTACCACTGGAAAGAACAGCCTTGGAGCCTCCTTCGATCCGGGTCCGCAAGACTGAAACACTGTCGGCATTAGCTGTACTTACAATTGCATAGGAAAGGTGGTCCAAAGGGTTTGTCTCACACTGAAGAAGACACCCATCGATTATCAACCTTCCACTCCGATGAAGCAAGCAGCAGCCAAGCTCCGCCCTCACAGTTAAGTTCGCTAATTTGCATGTAGACGTAAACTCCAATGCACTGCTCAAACAAAATGAGAAACAGGGAAACAGGTTTGTGAGATATGACTAGCTTATGCTCCGTTTGGCTGGTAGATTTTGAAAGAAAGGGAAGGTGTGATATTTATTAAATGTTATGAAAGACAATTAGGACGAAGAATTATAAATATAAAATAGTTCAATCGGTCACAATACTTGCTACCAAGAGGTAAGTCTTTAACTGTGTAATTTCTTACAACGTATAAAACAACACTTATTGTGAACAGGAGGAATACATCATTTAAGTAAGTTTTGTTCTTGGTTTAAAAAAGCGCGCCTGAGGCGCGCAAAGGCACTAGGCGCCCTAAGGCGATGGGTTCATCGCATCTTAACCCCCTAGGCGTAGCAGATTCCAAGAGGCGCGCCTTCTTTCACGCCTTTTGCCGTTTTTTGCGCGTCTGAGAGGCGTTCGCCTCTCACGCCTCTTGGAAGTGTCCGATAGTATTTCTTCAAAACCTTGGCGATTAACGTTTGAAGCCTTTTAGCGATTCAGTCATTCAGATATTACTTCCAGAATATCGTAGGTCTTATATATCGTTAAGTTAAAGTTCATCAAACTCTATGTCTTATATATCTTCTGCCTTCTGCGTTTGCTTCTCTTCTTCTGCCTTCTATCTTCCGCTTCTCTCTCGCGTCCCAGGTATGCTTTTATATTTTTTTGTTCTCTTCTCCTCTTAATTCTCTTTTATCTTAATTTTTAAAATTTATAAAATAATAAAAATTATTAAAATATATATAACTATAACAATCTGCCCTAAACCCTAATCCCAATCAGAATGTTTATCAATTTAAAATAATAATAAAGATGGTTTGTCCTATCAGATATGTTATCAATTTACCTGTTTATATGACAGCTTGTTATATTATTAATTTACCTGTTTATATGACAGCTTGTTATATTATTAATATTTTCATGTAAAAGTTCATTTATATTATTAATATTATTACTATTTTTCTATTAATACGAGTATATACTTCTTGCTATTTTGTCTGAATAAATATTATGTTTTTTTCTCTTAAGGTGTTTATTAAGATTGTTTAATAATTTGAAGTATTTTTTTATTTATCACTTTTTGGGAAGAGTTCTTCATTCAGAAGTAGTATAAATATATTTTTCCAAAGCTATAAGGTTAAGGTCCGTGAGGCGAGCGCATCATCGCCTAGCGCCTCGCGCCTCGGGTAAGTCAATGCAATCGCCTCAAGCCGCCTCGTGCCTTTTAAAACAAAGGTTTTGTTACTGTTGGCACATGAAAACATTTTCAAATAAAGATTTACTTGGGTTTGGCACAAGAAAGTATTCTTTGATTCTTTAGAAACTATATGGTGTATCATACATATAACAACCTATTTTAGCGAAACATGTTTTTCCTGAAGTAGTTTTTTTCTCAGAACAGGGGCGGAGCCAAGACACAATAAAAGGGCAGGCCGGATTTGAACTGAAAAAATTCTCACATATAAGTTTAGTAATCAAATAAAGTTCAAGTGCATCACAAAATTTATTACAACAAAGTCAACAAAACTACTACAAATATAGTGCATCAAACATTCGAACTAAAATGTCAATAGCACTCTATGGTCTTTTACTTTAGCAAATTCATCAATAAGGGAGTCAATATCTATTGTACTAACAAGTTCCCTCTCAATGAAGATTGTCAAACTATCAGAAAGAAACTCATCAGTCATTTTGTCGCGAATCATAGTCTTGACATGTTTCATTGCTGAATATGCTTCTATTATAGGTGCAAAAACCGGTAATGTTAGCACACGACGTATCAATCTTGTCATCATTTTGAAATCTTCAGTCTTTCTTGTTTTCACCAACATTTCACATAAATGTGAAAGTACTGCAACTTGAAATCGAGAGTTCTAACAACGTGAATATGATAACATGTCATTCAATCATTAAAGCATTTGTCTCGTATTGATCAAAATCATCAGGATAAAACTCCACCGCAAGCTTATAAATATGATCAACATTATATGATTCAAAAGAGTTTTTCAAATCTAAGTAGTCTAACTGATTTTTCACTAAATCTTGAATTCAACTCCGCCACTTGAAAATCTATGGATTGAGTACGGTATTCAAAGCAATAATAATGTTCAAAATCCACCTCACTCCGCCCACAACGCGTTTTGCTCTTCAAGTCTGGGATAGTGATGTTATGTTTTTAAGCAAAACCCTTCCACTTGTTTTAACAAATTTTACCATCCATCATCCCTTAAATTTGAAAGAAGAGTTTTGGATGTTGAAACATATCACGATAAAATGTCCACTGAATCCTTTTAAAATGTTTCCTAAAGAAAATCGGTTATAGCTATAATATCTTTCATTATGTGCAATCCAAAGACAAATTTAAAAGTTTTCACGCTACTGCAAACTTCATTTCGAGCCTTAGGATTCGGCCCATCACTAGCAATATTCTCGAGTACATTACAAGTAGCATTATACAATTCTATCATACTAAGAACATAATCATAATGAGAACTCCAACAAGTTGTACCCAAGCATTGTAAAGATGACATGTGATTCGCTCCTCATCCAGATTCACGCTCCCACTTGCTAACAGAATGTCGATATCAACTTTATAAACAACTTGTAATTTTGTATTGTGCTTAACAGAAGATTTGACATTGTTAATTACTTTATCCAAAATTGAAAAAGAATCTCCAAATAGGATCACATTGTTTTCTGAAACCACCAATGTCAATTGCAACCTGTGAACAAAAAAATGCACATAGTATGCATAAGAATAGTCATTCATAAATAGTGTTTGCAATCTGTTGCATTAGTCATTCATATTACTAGCATCGTCATATCCTTGGACTCGTAGCTTATGAACTTGAAGATTGCAGTGAGAAAGAACATCACATATCTGAGTTGGCTCTTTGACGGTTGATTGTTAATAATCTCGTTGTATCTGGTATCGGTAATAAATGTGTGACATGTGTTGCTTCTCTAATGACACCAGCTCAGCATATTGGTATAGTGATTGAGACAGTTAGCAAAGAAGAAGTTTTAAATAATCGTTTCGATTAAAGACATCAATCATGACTGTGCAGTGGCTAAAGTTACACGGTTGTGCTTTTAGAGGTCATGACAAGTGTGAAATATCTTTGAACCGTGGAAATATGATAGAAATGATTAGTTACATAGCAAAGTGGAATGAGGAAGTCAAAAATGTTGTATTGGGTAATGCTCCCAAAAATGCCAAATACACTTCTCCTAATATCCAGAATGAAATTTTACCTTAAATGACTAATAGAGTTCGCCGTATGATACACGAAGAAATAGGAGATTTGTGTTTTTCTCTTCTTGTTGATGAATTTGATCAGGAGCAAATGGCCATAATTTTGAGATTTGTGAGTGTTGTTGGTATTTTAAGAGAACGTCTTTTTGCTATTAAAGGCATTGCTGAAACTTCTATAGAAACATTAAAGCACAAGATTGGTGATGTTCTTTCTCACTACAATCTT